GGTCGATTTAGGTATCTTATTTCACCTAAACTTAATTTCAATATTAAAAGCACTTTAGTATAAATACTAAGGTAAATTTAATGTTCCTTAAATCCGTTTCAAAGAAATATAAAAACTAAACGAGTATAAAGTCCAGTCTTATATTTTTTATCATGAAAAATATTTAATTTAGATTTCTAAGATCTTTCTATTAACTACAGAAAGTAGCAGAAATGAAATTAATAATTTATTTAATTTAAACGAGACTTTTAAAATAAGTTTTTCTTTTAGAATTAAAACCAATTTAAATTATTCAAACTTTCGTGATTATATACACTTATATAAAAACGGCTAAAACATCGACTAGTTTGGAGCCCATCAGGGGACCTTCATCAGGGTGAGTGGGACTGGTATTATATTGCGGGCACCCGTCGCTCAGGAGTGTCACTCACCCCGATGAAGGGCTCCTGATTGGCTCGAAACTAGTCGGTGCCACCGGACGAACATACGTGAGTGTTATAGCTATTTTTATATAAGTTTAAAATCAATTTAATTAGTTGCCTCTGTGTACCTGACTATGTTCTACATCTGTGCCAAATTTCAGCGATATCTATGCAACCGTTCTGGAGATACCTATTACAAACATCTTAACATTTGTATTTATAATATTAGTAAGATTAGAATCATATTACCATTTCTAAACCTTTTTAAACATTCCTGAAATAACAAAGCATCAAATGCTAGGTTATATCGTTCAATAAACCTGAATAGGTACTCATGTTCCAAATACAGAATCTCTCCCGATTCACTGAATTGAGTTAAGTGTATCTGAAAATTTCTATTATCGTCAACCTAAAAATAGAATATCAAAGTAATTGGCGCGTATTCGTTGAATTTAAATTATTTATCATTTATTTTAGCGTCGGTGTGTCAGTCCAGTCAGTCATGAAATTTGGCACACATGTAGAACATAGTCTGGAAGAACACAAATGCTACTTATTATGATTTCTATGAATGGATTTGCGAGCTATAGCTAGTAAATAAATAATAATAAATACATAGATCATCATCATCAGCTCACTATACGTCCCCACCGAGGGGCTCGGAGTCTACCCTAAGTTAAACGCTGGCGGGTTGACTTTACACATATCTTTGAATTTCTTCTCAGATATGTGCAAGTTGCATCACGATATTTTCCTTCACCGCAAGATGGTCGGATAAATGTATATATGTAAATCGGAAATTGAAAAACACATTGGTACATGGCGGGATTCGAACCCATGACCTGCAGATTGCAAGTCAAGTGCTTGACCCCTGAGCCACCGACACTCTCAACTTTCAAACTAATACTGTCTAAAAGTGTATGTGAATGTTACACAATCATATACATAACTACATAATAAAGTTAAAATGAAGACTTAAAAGTGTGTAACAGCTCTAAGTAGTCTTATAAGTAAATCTACTTAGGTGTTAAGTAGCGTCTAGTCAAGGCTCTATTCTTATATTAGCTGTCTCTCCCGACTTCGTATACTATGAATTAAAGAAAAGCTACTATGTTCGTTTGTCCCAATCCAACTATTCAAATTTTTGCAATAATAACATTACTAAGATTTTTTTATATCATAAGAAACGAGCGAGCGGCCACCTGAAATAGCGAAGTGACCGTTGCCCATAGATATACGCAATTGCATATGCGTTGCCTACCTTTAATCGACGGAGGAGAGGATGCACAGAAAGTAAATATTTTCCCTTTCCATGCAACCTCTCATCCGGAAAGTCCACTTCCACTTCCCATCCTTTTCATGTAAGAAAAAGGATGGGAAGGATGACTAAATTAGGCCTCCGGGACGCACACTCATCAGACGAAACGCGGAATTGCTACCACTTTACGCCTGTCTTCAAAAAATCAAAAAGATAGAATATTCTAGATATTTTTAATGTTGAAGTATGTCAATGTTAGAAGCAATTTAGTAAACACGCAGTTGTAATTGCTTTCTGTAGTATGTCATGTTGGAGCATTTTAATATGCGTCAGGTATTCGGGTCGCTCTGCGGGAAGTCGGGTATACAACGTAATACGAAAATTTGGGAAATCCCCGCATAAATCGATATATATATCGCATAGTTCTCTTTTCATGTATTTACACGTCGTTTTTCTATTTAGTATTATTTCTGCCTTACACGATTACTTTGAGCATTAATCTGTTATGACGCGTTTCCTAAACTTTAAAAAAGTCCTTAAAAAAATTAACAGTCTTTAACCAACCACTTATTTGCAGTATTTTTGGTTTTGTTTTTTAGTATTTTCGAAAAATACATTGGTACATGGCGGGACTCGAACCCAGAGCCATCGACGCTCGGCCTATGGACTTGCCTAATCACCCTTAACTTAGAGTAGACTCCGAGCCCCTCGGTGGAAACTTATAGCTGATGATGTTGATGAAATATCTGGCCTCAATTACTAGATGCTTCTTTCCCCCTTATAAGTGGCTGAACGTTATCAAAGCTTTTGCCTACCAATATAAAAATATGTGGATATACATCTATAAATGGATAGGTCATTTGTTAATGACAACTTTGTTCCGACTTAAACGCGCCTGTCGAATTTCGAATACTCACCACTGCTTACAACCACAACCATCAGCGCCAAAATGGCGGAAATAAAATAGGCACAAAACACCACGTACTTATAGCCAGTCTATGCATGACTCAAACACGCACAGCGTATATTCAACATGTATCTTAATTTGTGCCGCAATCTCATTATGTGAAGGGTTTGTGCTGCAGGAATTTTGATTAAATCCTAAAATTAATTGAAAATATTCTGCCACACTTTATTTAAAATATAAAAAGAAATGAAAACATATTTTTACAATTTAATAGCGCGTTTTTGGAGTATAAGCACGAGTTTCTGAGACCGAAAACCACGTTTAAAATATATCGTTAACTTTTTTTTTCAAAGATAATGAAAGGGATGACAATATAAAATTTTCCTAACTTTCGTGAAAGCGTAGAGTGTCGGTGGCTCAGGGGTTAAGCACTTGACTTGCATCTGCAAGTCATCGGTTTAAATCCCGTTAGTACCAATGTGTTTTTCGATATCTGATTTACATATGTACATTTATCCGACGTTCTTACGGTGAAAGAAATCATCGTGATGCTGCACATATCTGTGAAGAGATTAAGAGATATGTGTGAAGTCAACCCGCACTTGACCAGCTTGGTTGACTAAGGCCTAGTGACCTAACTTAGGGTAGGCTCCGAACCCCTCAGTCGGGATGTATAGTGATCTATATAAAGAGACTAGCGGACCCGATAGACGTTGTCCTGTCTACACGTCTTTAATTTGAAACTGACTGAAAAAATTGAAGGACACAGTGATGGTAGCGCCGTCTGTCGGATCCAATGTAAAACATTCCAAAATCAACAACTACTAATAAATTAAAAAAACATTATCCAGCGGACAAAATTGTGAATCTAAACCATTCCCAGATCCCCTTGAACACACACAAAAAATTTCATCAAAATCTGTCCAGTCGTTTGAGAGAAGTTCAGTGACATACACACTCACAGAAGAATTATATATATAAAACATTTTGACTCACGGATGACGATATGTTATACAGAGATTTTGGTGTCAGAAAGTCATAATAAGTCATCATTCGAATTGTATTTTTTTTTTTATATCAAAAGGTGTCAAACGAGCAATCGGCCACCCGAAATCGCTGAAATAGCGAAGTGACCGTTGCCCATAGACATACGCAATCGCATATGCGTTGCCTACCTTTAATCGACGGAGGAGAGGATGCACAGAAAGAAAATATTTTCCCTTACCATGCATCCTCTCATCCGGAAAGTCCGCTTCCACTTCCCATCCTTTCCTTCTAAGAAAAATGGTGGGAAGGGAAAGAGGACTAAATTAGGCCTCCGGGACGCACACTCATCAGACGAAACGCGGAATTGCTTCCACTTCAAGTCTGTCTTCTGTGTGGTCGTGGTATTTCACCGGGCGAGCCGGGCCGATTCGTGCGAAGATGTTAAAGCGGGCTCTACCACTGTTAAATGTATTCTTCCTTCGAATGCTACATAACTTTAATCAATAGAATTAATGTTATTTTAATTTAAATATTTCATATTATAATGTGTTGCCGACAGATACGGAACTTTGTACACTTTTTTATTCATAATTGTTATATTTTTGTATTTAGAACTTTGTATGTTTTTTCTTTCTTTTTCTCTTTATTTAAAACGATTAGTTGTAAACATAGTCCGTAACAGTGTGTGCTTTTCTCCTTATTTCTAATAATTCTATTTATTATTTTCATTTTATCTTTTTATTATATAAAATAATATTCCAAAATTCATCCTAATCCAAACGCTCTTTCCATCCTTACATTTTCCGTCGTCTTTATAATGTTTTTTTTATTCTTGTAAATACAATGTTCATATAATCTTGTCAGCGTCAGCTTGTCCTATAAAAACATTGTAAGAATACATTCAGCGAGGCATGCGAACAACATTTGACCTTTTAACACGATACACGGTTAGCCATTTTTATTCAGACCTGTGTTTCATAAATATAGCGTAAGCTGTGGCCCGCAACTAAGCTCGTAAAAAAAATTTAATTAGTAGTTCTGTCTTCTTCCACATTATGTTCTACATCTGTTTGGTACTACTGCACCGACGGCGGAGCAGCAGTGCGGTCCCTTACAGACCGCACCCGTCGCCTCGCGCGCCCTTCACTCTGCATCTACCAGTTGCGCCATGCCATTCCGCCCGACGACATACTTGTCAAATCATATTTGTTTTTATAATCCTTTGCATTACAATCATCAGCAACCAACCAGCCTTTCATTACATCATCATACAGTCCACTCGCTCATCAACATCTATGATTTTCAGCGAGATACGTGCAGCCGTTCTGGAGATAAATTCAATCTATCCATCTAAACATTTGCATTTTATCAGTAAGATTTATGTATATATTTTCAATCAATGATTCTACTTTTTTTTTTGTTACAGAAGTAACAAAATGATCGATCCAAGCTCATCTGAAGAAGACAGCGAGGATGAACATAAGAAGCAACCAACGAAACTACCAGGTCAGTAATCATATTATTATATCTATATGATTATTCAAAGTTCCAAGATATTTTTTTTTTGTACCATAACGTGGCAAACGAGCGAGCGGCCACCTTAAAATGGCTGAAATAGCGAAGTGACCGTTGCCCATAGACATACGCAATTGCATATGCGTTGCCTGCCTTTAATCGACGGAGGAGAGGATGCACAGAAAGAAAAAATATTTTCCCTTTTCACGCATTCTCTTATCCGGAAAGTCCACTTCCACTTCCCATCCTTTCCTTATAAGAAAAAGAGTGGGAAGGGAAAGGGGACTAAATTAGGCCTCCGGGATGCACACTCATCAGACGAAACGCGGAATTGCTTCCACTTGACACCTGTCTTCTGTGTGATCGTAGTATTTCACCGGGCGAGCGGAGACAATTCATGCGAAGATGTTAAAGCGGGCTCTACCACTGGCTTATTTTAACCAAAAACTTTGAGTTTGATGCTTTGAATTGTTAGTTTACCCCTAACGACTAATCATTTGAGTCAAATACGCTTAAGTTTGTTTTTCTTGTCCCAATAATCTAAGAACTTCTTAACGTAATAAAATGTAATCGCTTGGTCCAGACATTAAATGGCCAATGTCTATAAAATTTGTTTACAATGGATCTTTATGGATATTTGCCAAGTCGTTCGGTGATACAGGCAATATGTAGCCCGAAATGGAACGTAAAGAAAAATTTTAATCTTACTAATATTATGAATGCGAATGTTTAGATGGATGGATGTTTTTTGAAGTTATCACCAGAACGGCTGCATGGATCTTGATGAAATTTGGCATAGATGTAGAGCATAGTCTGGTAGATCGCATAGGCTACTAATTAAGTTATTTTTTTCTGCCACGCAGACGAAGTCGCGGGTGACAGCTAATGTTTATCTTAATAATTTAGTCATATTATTAAGATAAAGTTACTGAGTTTGTAAAATTGTATCCAAATACAGGATGATGATAATTTCTAGGTCTAGACCTCTTCCGAGTTTTTTCTTCTGCGTAACATTTAAGTTTTAATTAAGTAACTCCAAAAAATTTAAGTTATAAAAGAAACACGTAGTTGTAAAATATACAATAGTATATCATGAACATTAACTAAGTGCGACACAACCTTGTCTAGACTTTACCTCATAAATATATACGAGGCATCGTAACTTATTTAAGTTAATGGACTGCGTACTTAGTACTATAACTTAGTGTCCTATATCATGTGTGCTTTCGCCAATTTTGTAATTAACTGTCTTTTAACATAATAGCAAATTGTGCTAAGTAACGGTTTTACAACTTAAATTTTTTATCTATTATATATTTTAACTACTTAAAAATTAAACTAAAAACTACTTAAAACTAAGTAACTTATTAAAATCAATACCGATTTTTTTGTAAAAATATTGATAAAGATTGAAACAAAGATCCTTATAATTTAACTAATTAATTTCGCAACTAATGCTTATACAGGATGTTTCAAGTTATAATACATGGTGTTCCAAGTTAAAATAGATGATGCCAAACTTCGTTAATTACAACAGTCTTACCTGTTTTGTAAATTTAAGCATAAATCTAGGAAACTTTAAACTAAAGTAATAACATAACTTAGATAAAGCGTCTGAAACTGATCACCATCCTGAGATTAAGTTACGATAAACAAACGTAGGATGTTCTGTAGGATAAAGCAGTACTTAGAAATTACTTTCTCATTTACTTTTCTTACTTCTTTTCCTATTTTTAGTTTATTTATAAATGTACATAGTAAGCGGCACTTGTTTCGTAATTTAAAGTGAAGTTTGACGTATTCGACCTCTTTTGTAACCGAAGAGTTTGTAAACCAAACAGGTTAAGCTGGCCACTAAGAATCTTATTCGTCATCTAATAATATTGTAGTGTCTGTATGTAAAAAATCATAAAACATTTTGTATCTATGACATTCATTCTATGTGAAATCTTATACATAAAATTCTCGTGTCACAATTTTCGTTCCCATACTCCTCCGAAACGGTTTGACCGATTCTCATGAAATTTTGTGAGCATATTGAGTAGGTCTGAGAATCGGCCAACATCTATTTTCCATCCCCCTAAATGTTAAGGGTAGTCCACTCCAAAATTTTTATTTTTTAGACAAACACGCGGACGGAGTCGCGGGCGACAGCTAGTCTTTAAATAAAATTGTTGCTTAGAACACAATACTTTTAAAAGCATATTTCAAAAAGTTGTTTCGCTTTTTATTTCGGTTTTTATTCTAGTAATACCATCATTCACAGTATTTTACGATTCCTACAAAAATAAGGTCACAGTTTTGCAAAGGCAGCCAGAAATTTCCATACCATTTAGTTCAGTTCAAATAATGTAAAGGTCGAATAACTTAGGTCTGATGTCTTGTCGCGCATTGAACGACTTTTGGCTTCCATCCAACATCGAGATATCGTACCAAGGTTTATAGACATACGAAATAGAGGGCTGTAATAACCTTCAGAATTCCATATCGATATTCAAATTAGGAATTCTAAATAAGAATCGAATTATTCAGGAATTCCGGAGACTTATTTCATTCACACTTAAGTAATTTAAAAATAAAAATGCTTTTCATATTTTACGTAACTTTTAAATAATGTTATGCGTCGGAGGGCTAATTTTCTCCCCTTTTCCTTGAGTCCCAGTCCCGTCGTAAAAGTACGCAATGCATCTGCAATGATGTTTTAGGTCTATGGTTGCTTCGCTCATCATCAACCTGCCCTTATCCCTATCGAGGGTCGGCACAGTATGTACTACTCCTCCATACATCTCTATCAGCCGTCATATCCGAGTCTACCCCCTTCCTACAAATATCCGCTTTCGCACAGTCATTCCATAGTCCATAGTCTATGGTTGCTTCGCTATTTAGACTAATTCAGGCCACTTCATCGCTTAACCTTATATCAAATTAAAAAAAATCTGTCAATGCTATAAAAACAAATTGCCAAACTCATTTCATAAGGAGCTAGATCGACAGATACTGACTATGACTACAATGATAATTTTTTTTTATATCATAAGGTGACAAACGAACGAGCGGCCACCTGAAATCGCTGAAATAGCGAAGTGACCCATAGACATACGCAATTGCATATGCGTTGCCTATCTTTAATCGACGGAGGAGAGGATGCACAGAAAGAAAATATATTCCCTTTCCATGCATCCTCTCATCCGGAAAGTCCATTTCCACTTGCCATCCTTTCCTTATAAGAAAAATGGTGGGAAGAGAAAGAAAGGGAATTTAGTCCAAATTAGGCCTCCGGGACACACTCATCAGTCGAAACGCGGAATTGCTTCCACTTCACGCCTGTCTTCTGTGTGGTCGTGGTATTTCACTGGGGGAGCCGGGACAATTCGTGCGAAGATAAAGCGGGCTCTACCACAGTTAAATACAATGTTATATCAACCCACTCAAAACTTATAATGTCGGCGTTCCATAGACTATGCGTAGAACACTCGACAGTGTAGTATGTTCCTTGTGAGGACATCCTTAATCCTAACAAAGGTGTCAAGAGCTTGTGAGGATAAGAAAGCGTGATACTGACAAAACTTACAAGTACTTCAGATAGGGTCGTGCTATATATGCTTAAAAGGAAAAGCGATAGATGGCGTTGTATAAAATTTATTCGACGATAGCAAAGTTCTTTATAGTACAAGATATAGTTAAGCGATAAAATTAGCTTAAGTCCAGACAGATCACACGCCGCAGTCGCTGTCGGCTGCGACAATCATTGTCGCGATACGGCCTCATAGTAGGAAGATTTCCTCCTATTAATAATAGATGCGTTGGTAGAGTTTCTTCTGCCACTTCTTCTCCCAGAGATAACTCTTTCCGAATTTGTAGTAATTTTAGATGTATTAATAGCAATCAGATAATAGCAACCGATCAAGCCGTGGTTCGGCCCTCTCGGGCACCCTTGAATCGGAATGCTAAACGCGTAATGAGTGACAGCCCAAGCCGAGGTCCCCTCTTGGACGCCCTTGAGTCCAGTCACTCCATGGAGCGTCTACCTAAGCGATCTAAGAGCTCGGTGGCCTCCCAATCCGGTAACTATAATGAAGTAACAGCCCGAGCCGAGGCTCCTGAGGGAGCTCTCGAGTCTTGTTACTCTTAAACGAGGTTCAGGCTAAGCGCCATCTGCGCTCGGCCACCTCAAGCCCGGTGAAGCTGTTAATACCTCTTCAAGGCAAACAGTGACTACACAGGCACAAAGAAAAAATCTTAAGTCGTAAACGTTCTGTAAGTTTAAATTCATTTATCTTATTTTACTTAAATTGGGGTTTTCTAACATCATTTGTAATTTCTACAACAAAGTAAACTTTAACACAGCAATTACTCGTCATGTCAAGCATATTTGTTCTTTTCTGTTGTTAAATAAAAGCACAATAGGTCGTTGTTTGTCCGTTTATGTCGGTACAATACGTTCCTATCAAATACAAAAGCGGGAACGTTGGAAAACCCTTGATCAAATAATAAAAGGACTTTTGTTTATATAGGTCAAATTATGCGTAAATTTTATTCCATATTCTACTATATGGTCTTTCGTCTGCCACATTAATGTTTCCAAAAATATATTAAGAGCGTCGGTGGGTCAGTGGTCAAGCACTTGACTTGCAATCTGCAGGTCCTGGGTTCGAATCCCGCCATGTACCAATGTATTTTTAGATTTCCGATTTACATATGTACATTTATCCGACGTTCTTACGGTGATGGAAAACATCGTGATGCAACCTGCACATATCTGAGAGGAAATCCAAGATATGTGTGAAGTCAACCAACGCGCACTTGGCCAGCGTGGTTGACTATGACCTAATCACCCTTAACTTAGGGTAGGCTCCAAGCCCCGTCGGTGGGGACGTACAGTGAGCTGATGATATATATTAAAGATTTTTTAGTGGTAACCAAAAGCTTACTATGGTTTACAGAGATAATATTACTAATATTATAAATGCGAATGTTTAGATCAGTGGTTCCCAAACTTATTTTGCCCACTTTGAGAATAAATTTTTTTTTAGCGCCCCCACATTTTCATAGATTTAAAAACCACTATAATTTCAAATTAAATTAATTAATTATTTTGACCTATACATGTATATTAACGGAGAATTGTAAACAAACTTTTACTATAACCCGCAACTTGGAACTTGTAGCGCCCACAAGGGGGCGTTATCGCACACTTCGGGAAAGACTGGTTTAGACGGATGGATATTTGTTTGAAGTTATCTCCAGAACGGCTGCATGGATCTCGCTGTAATTTGGCATAGATGTAGAACATAGTCTGGAAGGACACATAACCTATTTATTAAGTTTGTTTTTAATTCCGTGCGGACGGTTTCACGGGCGACAACTAGTGAAAGTATAAACAAGAATGTAATAAAATGTCTTCAAACGTAGAAGAAAATATAAATGGATTGTATGTTGATAGGGCTGATGGATGACGATGATGATTAACCAAGTCTGTCATAAAAATCGATTTAATCTAAAAGTGTACGAGTATTTTCATTCGTTTCAATTTTCTAAAAAGCTATGCATTCCAAACATATCCATTTTCTATAGATGACAAGACAAGGTCATGCATGACGTGACATATTTCTTTGATGTTTGTCATATAACGATTCTTTAAATATTATTCTTTTATGTTTCTGAATTATAAAAACATGTAAAACAACATATTCTTATCTCTCACATCCTCTTTGATAAAGATGAGACAAAGATATTTTTAATAAGTATCACGGTAATTGATGTACACCCTTTTTTTTTATAGTCAGGAAATGCATTTACGCACGCCTACGCCGGGCGGTGCAATGGCGTAGGGAGTGTGGGACTCGCCGGCCACAGAAGGTGACCAGAATACCCACTAAAACCTGACTGCCCTCTGACGCATCGGGACGGGGCCACGGGCACGAATTGATGTACACCCTGTAGATACAGAGACACGCCCTGTTTATTGACTTATTACTAGCTATCAAATTAAAATCTTACTAATATTATAAATGCGAATGGATGGGTGGATGTTTGAAGGTATTTTCGGAACGACTCAACAGATTTTGATGAAGTTTGGCATACATGTAGAACATAGTCTGGAAGAACACATAGGCTACTAATTATGTTTTTTTTACATAGCGTGCGGACGGAGTCACGGGCGACAACTAGTGATGAATAATAATAATATTTATTGTAATATTAATGTAAAGGTTAAAATGTAGGAGGGCTGGAGTATTAAATATGAAATGGTTGATAGCAGACGTTGCGTAGGTGTACAAGAGTTTTTAATGATGTACTTAAATTTACAAGAAAAATTTTATATTTATACTAGCGGACCCGACAGACGTTGTCTGTCAATTTGACACTGCGATGGTAGCGCCGTCTGTCGGATCCAATGTAAAACATTCCAAAATCAACAACTACTAATAAATTAAAATTTAATTAAAAAAAAAATTGTCCAGCGGACAAAATTGTGAATCTAAACCATTCCCAGATCCCTTTGAACACACACAAAAAATTTCATCAAAATCGGTCCAGTCGTTTGAGAGAAGTTGACATACACACTCACAGAAGAATTATATATATAAAGATTTGAAAATAAACTTAATCTTAACGGTAAAGTTTATAATTTTTTATTTAGGATTACCAACAAAATATGTTACATATAATATATATATACGTAGTACATAGGTTTTTAGGAATTACTACGTAAAAACTAAAGGGAGAGGAGGGAGGGGAGGAAGGGGTCGAAAAACCTACAAAAAAATGTCACGTAGTATGGGTATGTTCTCTTATCTCTACGGAGGCTAAAAAATTATATGAACATGGATCTTTAGTATCAGCAAGTTCCGTTGGATTGCCAAAAAAATTACGATCAACGAAAATGATGATTTCAACTAGGCTTATCTAAATTAAATGACAAAAGCTACTAAAAGTACTAGAAATATACAATAACATTGTCACATCATTATGCCCATACATTACCATGCACTGATCCATACATATCAGCCATTTAATTCGAATTGACTCCATTATTACACATTTCGTATTTGACATCCATCCATACATCGCTTTTCTCGCCCTTTACAGTCATCCATTCTTTTAAAATTACTAATATATATCCCATAAATATAATATATTCTTCTTATTAAAAACGATAATTTCAATTGACAGTGGTAGAGCCCGCTTTAACATCTTCGCACGAATTGTCCCGGCTCGCCCGGTGAAATACCACGACCACACAGAAGACAGGCGTGAAGTGGAAGCAGTACCCCGTTTCGTCTGATGAGTGTGCGTCATGAGACCTAATTTAGTCCTCTTTCCCTTCCTAACCTTTTTCTTATAAGGAAAGGATCCGAAATGGAAGTAGACTTTCCGGATGAGAGGATGCATGGAAATGTTTTCTTTTCGTGCATCCTCTCCTCCGTCGATTAAAGGTAGGCAACGCATATGCAATTGCGTATATCTATGGGCAACGGTCTTTTCGCTATTTCAGCGATTTCAGGTGGCCGCTCGCTCGTTTGAAACCTTATGATATAAAAAAAAAAAACAATTCTTTACATTTTATTAGTGCCGCCGGGTTCTCTGGTTGGCGGACGTCCTTCAGTGCGTGGCAAGCCTGAGTTACCACGAGGCTCGACAGCTGGATTACCAGGTAAGTCTAGAATAGTTAAAAATTATCTATATATAACTTTAAGAAGTACTATTTCGGGAGTACACTGGATGCGGATGGCACAGGATATTGTGACAATCAATGGGAGAAACCTATGTTCAGCAGCAGACGACCCCAGGCTGATAATAATGATGAAAAAGGTCTAGCTATTTTTAGACATTATTAGTTAAAATACTTTGGAGCGAATGACGTGCTTTCGTTACAAAGTCAAGTGTCAGAATGAATAGTGAGGGGACATAAACGTCGACATTTTATTAAGGCTAGTGTTTAGTCAATACACTGGCGTATTTCCAGATTTTATTCCTAACACTACGAAGAAGGAAATATTAAAAATTCACGTTTTAAATACTACAAATGCATTGTTATTTTTTTTTAAAGAAATTAAGAAATATAATAAAGAGAAAACGTAAATGGTAATTTTAAAAAATACAAAAATATATGTACCAAAAAATAAGAAAAAAACTTTTCAACGATGCAAATAAATTACATTAACATAAACATTTTATTAAAACGTACTAACGCTCTCATGAAATTTAAGAAACGACTCGTTGACCTACTAAGGTCGTTGGGAGCTTAATGGAAGTAGATTTGCAATTTTCATTCATAAAGTTAAGCTTTGAGCTAGTTTCTGATGAGAATAACTCATTTTAAGTTAGAATAACTTTAAATTATAACTTCAATTGAGTTTTAATATTACTTGATTAGTACTCAGTTTCATTTAAGTAGAACTTTCGACTTTATAATATTTCTGAATATAAAAAGACAGCTAATTAAAGTTAACTGAACTTTAAATTACATTCTCTATAGTAGAGACCTTCTCTTTCATTCCCTTTGAAAAACAAGAGACAACAATTGTCAATACAACTTGCCGTAGTCAAAAAGTACAGTTATCACTAATACTAATTATTTAGTATTCATTAGGTGCAAGTCCACTAACAACAGCACCGTTAGCAGCTCCCCTCCATCCAGCGACCAGACAAAGAGAGCAAGCTGCGCTCGCACCACCACCACACGCGTAAGTAACACTAGTCCAGATAAAATATCCACGACCATTTCGTCTCACGAAACATCGTAGAAGTAGAAACATAATACGTAGATTAATACTAGAAAAAGATTTAAACAGAATAGAGGAAGAAGAAAATCATACAAATATTATAAATGTGTGATGGATGTTTGTTTGAAGGTATCTCCAGAACGTCTCAACGAATCTAGATAAAATTTCGCTTACATATAGAACACAGTCAGACAAAAAAAACACATAGGCTACTAATTATGTTTTTTTTACATTGCGTGTAGAGTCGCGGGCGACAGTTAGTAATAGATAAATAGATACTAGAGACGGTATAACAGAAATCAAATTTAAAAGTAAATTAGAAGTAAAAGCAATTACTTAATTTAGTGTTTAGTATCACAACATGACCATAAGTTTACACACACAGATAAAAATCAATACAGCAAAGGAACTAACTAAGACCATAAGTTAGTACAATCTGTTTGTGTGAACGTAATTCATATGACATCAATTAAACCCTATCGATCTTTTAGATCGTTCTTGCGCAGGACGTCAACGGGCAGCGCGAGCTCCGGGGAAGCACCGGCGCCTTCACCGAGTCCATCTGGTACCAGTCATTCAGATAAAGATCAAGACCCACAGGTAACTTTAACATAACCCTTAACTGTTGTCGCAGCAATCTTCTTTAATTTATTCCTACTGTTTACTTTCTGTAAGAAAATTTTAGTAGGTAAATATTGAATTGCTTTATACTGTGGTCGTGTCTATGGTATGTTTTAAGCTCGCCTGAGGACTTAATGGTAATTTCAATATTTTAAGCCATAAATAAATCAAGGATTGAAAACTCAATAGATTTTAATCCAAGAATTATTTATAAGTCAGATTTTAAATTTCAAATTGAGTTAATCTCTGAAGAATTTTAGAAAGTAATGGAAATTTGCCTTTGAAGGAGAAAATAGAGAAGTTGGAAGAAGATAAGAAGCGTCGTCTGCAACTCTATGTGTTTGTATCAAGATGTATAGCACATCCTTTCAACGCGAAGCAACCAACAGACATGACAAGAAGACATACAAAACTCACACCACATCAACTTGAAACTATTCAGGCTCGATTCCAGGTTTGTTCTTAAAATTATTACTTGCTAGATATTTTTTTTTTATCAGGATCAGGATTAGATTCAACTATTAGTAACTAGCTGACGCTCGCGACTCCGTCCGCGTGAAATGAGAAAAAAAATAATTAGTTCCCGGCAATTATTCGAATTTTTCTCGCCGTAAAAACCATCTTTGAACTTCGACGAACATTAAAAAAAAAGAATTGACCAAATTGGTCCTTTTTTTCAGAGGGGAATGCTTTATGCATACTCCGCGCCCCGGGGGGGACGCGGTAGTTATGTGGGATTCTACTCCTTAGCGGAGGCATACCCACTAAACCCCTCTGTTCCTCCAACGCATCGGGACGGGCACGCTTTCGCTCTCATCCGCGGCCCCGTCTGCGCCAGCTGCCGAGGCGGCTCCCTCTCGGGGGGGAGGCAACCCTCAGTCGCCGGTGATGGACTCCCCCGTGTCCATCACCAGAGAACCAAATTGGTCCTGGCGTTGTTGAGTTATGCGCTTACCAACACATTTTGCGATTCATTTTTATATTAAAGATAGTAGACCATTACTAATAGTTGAATCTATTCTATCTATCTATCTTAATCAGCAACAAATTTAATTGTGCTAACTTCAATTCTTGTATTTTCTTGATTTCTGTTCCAGATTCTCTTGCATTTAAATTTAAATCGTAACAGTGTTATATAAAGAATGTATATCGTTTTAATTTTAAATATATTTACGAGTTTTCTTTAAGAAATATCTTATTTAATCATGTATTTATTTTTCAGGCATTCCTCAAAGGTGAAACTCAAATCCTAGCAGACGAGGCATTCCAAAATGCAGTGCAATCTTACTACGATGTATTTCTAAAATCAGAAAGAGTTGAACAAATGGTGAAATCCGGCGCCTGTTCTCATCATGATTTTCGTGAAGTATTCAGAAATAACATCGAAAAACGAGTCAGGTAAGATTATTCTAAAATTTTTTAATATTAGCAGATTTTTTGCTAATTTATTAATATTTCTTGTACCCTCTACCCTTGTGCTAGGATATGGCTTACAATAGTCGAATGGCTGGTTTTGAACTCTAGACCACCTGATCGGAAATCCGTATCCTTAACCATTAGGCTATTGGCTATTGATGAACACAATTGTTTAATTTTAAACTACACTGTAACCTACTTTATCTAATTTACTATCACTTTAAACAATTCAATTTTAGATAAAACTAGGATCAAGGTATTTGGATAGTTAATTTCTAACTGTAATTTTTTGTCTAAATAATTAGACATCAAAAATGTTCAAATTGAAAAATTCTATTACTACCCACATATATTATCTTTATAGGTCTTTGCCTGAGATAGATGGATTAAGCAAAGAGACAGTACTAACAACATGGCTTGCTAAATTAGATTGCATCATGAAAGGAACAGGTAAGAAGTTAAATTAATTTTATTTTATAAAAAAAAAGATAAAGTCATGACGATAAATACTTTCCAGAAGACTTTATAAATAAAACAATCAGTTCGTTTGTCACGATTTTACTTTATTTTATGTTATTGTCTTCATGACTTTTATCTTCTAGATGTGCCATTGAATGGGCATGAGCTATATGTGTTAACGCCTCACTTTTTAATAGCTTACCTGCATCTGAATGTTTGTGATCAAAATATATGTGTGTTACGTGTAGTGTACTGACTTCAATTATCATTAATATAATATCTGTTTACCTTACATTACAATCAGTTAAAATGTCTAGACATAACCTATAAACAAGAACACATAACAAAGTTAATTTAAATTAACCTAACTAAGATAATCGAGAGCGTCGGTGGCTCAGGGGTCAAGCACTTGACTTGCAATCTGCAGGTCCTGGGTTCGAATCCCGCCATGTACCAATGTGTTTTTCCATTTCCGATTTACATATGTACATTTATTCGACATTCTTACGGTGAAGGAAAACATCGTGATGCTGCACATATCTGAGAAGAAATTCAAAGATATGTGTGAAGTCAACCAACCCGCACTTGGCCAGCGTGGTTGACTATGACCTAATCACCCTTAACTTAGAGTAGGCTCCGAGCCCCTCGGTGGGGACGTATAGTAAGCTGATGATGATGATGCTGAAATTATTAACTATGGATAGATATTTTTTGCAACAATTCCAAAATTATTATAAAGTTTGTAATTAGTAAATTTAATTTCTCTTAAAGATCACTCTTGAAATTCTAATGCCGACTATAAATATTTTAAAAGCGAAAATTTTGTTTTCTTATACTTCATTTTAATATTAAAATGTTTGTTGTAAAAAAACCTCAATACTAAACACTATTACAAAATTCATCATCATTTTAACGAATGTGTGACCTGCATCTGTCTCACTCTGTGTTTCTGTCCCTCTCTCTCACGACATGTCTCTCTCACACAACTTGAACAGGAATAACAGGTACCATCGGATGTCAGTTCATTTTCCTTATCTATCCAGCTTGTGTCTTGTATGTTCGTTTCTATGTCTATTAGTGAGTTTCCATTGTCGTAACACCTCTATAAAACCAATGTTACCATCCTATACCATCATTATCTAAGGACGCATCAGATTTTCGACTTTCAAGAAAAGGATGGGATGTGGAAGTGGACTTTCCGGATGAGAGGATGCATGGAAAGGGAAGATATTTTCTTTCTGTACATCCTCTCCTCCGTCGATTAAAGGTAGGCATCGCATATGTAATTGCGTATGTCTATGGGCAACGGTCACTTCGCTATTTCTGCGATTTAAGTTGGCCGCTTGCTCGTTTGCCACCTTTTGATTAAAAAAAACCTACTACTTCTAATATACCTTTCTACTTCCTGCTTAATTTCTGCTCTCTTGCCTTTTCTTTTATCCTCTTTGAAAGTGACAGAGATATAAGTATTATTCGCATGTGTTACGACTATTGAAATTCATTGCATATTATTATATGTTGCTTATTTGCTTAATATATAATTCTGTGTTAATTTCTGTTAATTACTGACAAACTTAAATAAGTGAGAGTCTACGGGATAGCGATTTCTCGCTTATAAAAGTTTCTCTCTAAACCCAGTTTCTCGCTTATGGAGTTTGTCTACGAGGACAAATGACTCTCGCTTATAGAGGTTTCTCGCTTATCCAGTATATGTTTGTTGAGGTTATGTTTTAGTTTTTTTAATGTGTGATACGATTTTTTGTCTACGATATGTAATATTTTCTTATGTATAAAGGTACCTGGTAAGTACTAATGTGTTTAAGCTTTAAGGTTTATGAGGCTTTGTTCATATTTGCTTCCTTTGTATTTAAAATTTATTCAGTTATGTAATTTGAAGCATTTGAACTAAACTATCGTATATAGTACTTTATGTAAAGATTTTGTAAGTATATAAGAATACAATATGTAATTTATTATTAAAGCTTTACCAAATTTGAAGAATTTTAAAATTTTCACATTCAATTCTTTCCGTTACATTTAAATTGACGTTTACATTCTTTATTAAAAACTTTTAAAATTGTCTATTATTTTGCACTTCAACATTCCTTTACAGCAACATATTAAAGTTAAAGTATTAAAAATGGAATATATTTTTAAAAGGTATACCTGGTGATGATGAAACCAAACGACCATCGAGAGCACAACAACAGAGCCTCAATGCTGAATGCATACTCAGCAAAGAACAACTATATGATATGTTCCAGCAGATATTAGGAGTTAAGAAATTTGAACATCAATTACTCTTCAATGCTTTACTGGTAAGATATCATCAGCTCATTATAGGTCACCAGGCTCGGAGCGTACCCTAAGTTAGGCGTGGTTATGCCGTAGTTAACCACGCTGGCCAAGTGCATGTTGACTTCACACGTATATTTGAATTTCTTCTCAGATATGTGCAGCATCACGATGCTTTCCTTCACCGTAAGAACATCAGATAAATGTACAAATGTAAATCGGAAATGAAAAAACACATTGGTACATGGCGGGATTCGAACCCAGGACCTGCAGATTGAAAGTCAAGTGCTTTTTAATACATACTTGTATTATAATAGGACATAACTTTAAACTTACTTTCCAATGAAATTTATTTTACATGTCAAATTTCTTGTCCAAAGTTATGTTTATACCTTGTTAGATTCAATTATTTTAATATTTTCTATTATAAGTTCCTCGCTTATGGAGTTAGTCTATGGGGACCAATGACTCTCGCTTATAGAGGTTTCTCGCTTATCCAGTATATGTTTATTGAGGTTATGTTTTGGCTTTTTTAATGTGTGTTATGATTTTTTTTCTACATTCTACATTTTTTATCTTACATTCAATAACTTACCAACAGTTGGATTCAGCTGATGAACAAGCTGCAGCGATTAGAAGAGAATTAGACGGAAGAATGCAAAAAGTCAACGAAATGGAAAAGGTAAGATTAAAATTAACGAATTTCTTTCATAATACAACTGCAATGATTTAGGTGGTCCTAGGAAAATATGAATAGATGAAAGTTGGATGGTGAAAGTTCAAATTATTAAAAAAAAAGTGTCTTCTGAAATGACGAAAACCTATCCTACTTAATGACAAAGTTACAATAAATAAAAGTAAAGTTGAAAAATGTTTTATTCTAACAGAACCGCAAGTTGATGCCAAAATTCGTGCTGAAAGAAATGGAGTCACTGTACATAGAAGAATTGAAATCTTCCATCAATCTATTGATGGCCAATTTAGAGTCTCTGCCTGTCTCAAAAGGCGGTGCTGACTCTAAATACGGTCTACATCGTATCAAGCGGTATAATCACAGGTTTGTATCTGAAAAAATGTCTAGAAATATCATAATGTTTTATATTTCATTGATGTAATTCGATGATTAAAATCTAGAAAGTAAATTACATTTTCTTGCATTCAAAGTTTCATTATAGAATCTAGAAACTTCTTTCTGAAGTTGTTTTAACGTTTTTTTTTATTATTATTATATTAATAATCGAATTGTATCAGAATGTTGGTGTTGTCTAGATGTTCTTGCGTCCCTAATTGTGTGTTACCTTAAAATTGTCGTCATTCGTAATCATATTAAACAAACTCTTCTCTATCATCTATAGTCAATGTTGCAGATAATCGATGGCAGTTTGTGCTTAATCAATGTCTAAAGGTTCATATAAATTAAGTTCGTTTTACACTGAATTTGGATCATTAATTAAGAAATACTATTTAGAGAAGTATGACAGTCATAAGAAATGCGTTAAGTTTTATCTTCAAAACTAAATGATGTATACAAAGCTATCAAAAAAAATCTAAGTTCACGGGAAGTATCCTGTAGGTTTTGATTCCCTTGCGAAAATTTGCGTAAATTTACGGCATAAACGGTCGTATCTTTTGATTGGGTTGTCTTAGAAGTTTTTTCACAGCACCTATCGACAGACCTGAACATTTGATATAAATTCCAGTTTGATACCTTTACACGTTTTTGAGAAAAAGGGTCTTGACAGACGGACAACAAAGTGATCCTATAAGGGTTCCGTTTTCCTATGAGGTACGGAACCTTAAAAACTGAACGGTTCATCTTTGTTTTAAACATAGAGTTTAGAATGTGAAAGACAAGATTTAATCAAATTAAATCTTTTCACTTTCAAACACATTGCGTTAACATTCACATAAGACAAATACAGCAATATCATAAGAATTATATTAAACTATCTAAATCTTTGAATGATTTTAAACAGAACTACTACTCAATTAGTATTAACATTCTTTACAAAACTTGGTACGTCTCTAAACAGTAATCTATCTTTGTAACTCTATCCTTTCTACTTGTTCATTTCTGTTTTGGTTTTCTGTCCCTGGCACATATCCGGACGATAATAAAAAGGAAGTACAAGTAATAAATATATAAATGATTAATTTGCGCACGTGTCTTGTGTAGCGGGAACCTTTTACACCAACCCGTAAACCTTTTCTTTATTATTGAAATCCTTAAGTTGTCATCACAATACCAAAAGACCACTTTAAATCTGACATCGGAATCTTTGACATTAAAAGATTAGAAAAGACCAATTTCCGATTGTAAAATGATAGTTAAGACATTGAATTGCTTTTGTTAATTTTATCTTGAACAAAGCAATGAAGTTAAACGTTGAAAGTGAATAGCAAATGGAATAACTAAAAATCCAATTATATGAACTGAAATGAACTGGAAAGGAATTTAACAATCCAAAGTTAATGCATATATTTTAACTATATCTGATCGAAAACAAAGGAAATTATAAATTAAAGATTATGAAGACGTTACTTTGGTCTTAATATAACAAAGTATGACAACTTAGGATTGCTTTCACAACACAGCCAGACAACTAGCTTTAAATAGACATAATAAGAGGTAGAAACTATAACAGGCTGTCTTTGCTAAGATACTCGGATAAACTAAGCTTTAGCATTACCCCTAGTTTGTAGAATAAACCAATGATACGAAAATACCAATCTGAATCCCAGAAGCTTAAACACACAGCTCGTCTTCACTTCCTTCTTTTTCATCTTTTAGTTCATTATCTTTTCTCTTCATTACGTTATGTACATACGAGGAACGACACACTAGATAACAAAAGATTGCTTAGCGCTTACTTAGGGCTTTGCTTAACAAAATAGAAGAAATAGCGACCATTATACTTCCTATTTACAATTAGTATATGCTTGTGTATGTATTAAAAAAACTATGTAACGTTTCCCCTTGCGATGCTTAATCATTCTTGGTATCGGTGATGGATCCATTTCGTATGCCACCATGCATCTTGTTCCATGGGCTTGTTTTAATGTTTGTCCTTAAAACCCTGTTTGTCGAATCATTTGAATTTCTATTCCAACACTTGCTTGATCATGTGATGGATTATAATCTTTTTTATAAATGTAAACTCAAATAACATTATCAAATAAATTAATGTTTTGCTCTTTTTAAATTCTTGGTAACTATCTGTAAATTTTCTTTTTTTATTGAATTTTGGTGGTTGTTCAATTGAGACAGATCGAATGCTGGACCAGATCCGAGTCCAAGGTTGAGTAAGCAGCTGTGTTTCAGATCGCAAGGATCTCTAGCGAACAAGCTGACCGGTGAAGGAGACGGGGGTGACGTCGACACACAACTCACTAAAATGGATGTGGTTCTTACATTCCAAATTGAGGTAACGCAAAGGATCGATGTTGTGTTGCTGTGTAAAATAACTTTGGGTTTTTGAAGGAACATTAATCAAATCGTATTGCTGTCCCTTTTATTCATTTTGAAGGAATAGAGACAATAATAGTGGTGGTGGGACAACAACGCAGTGGATTTTCACGTGAATCATGATAATTATGATATTAGGGCTATTTTTCAAATCAGTCTTGATAATACTCTTACTAGTTTTGAAGTTGGGTTTTCTAAAGGTGTGATTTTAAATACGACAGAGCGTGGGTGGCTCAGTGGTTTCAGCATTACTTGTAATCTGCACGGTCCTGGGTTCGAATCCCGCCATGTACCAATGTGTTTGTCAATTTTCGATTTACATATGTACATTTGTCTGACGTTCTTACGGTGAAGGAAAACATCGTGATGCAAACTGCACATAATTGATTTCAAAGACATGTGTGAAGTCAGCCCGCACTGGGCCAGCATTAACTATGGACTAATCACCCCTAACTTAGGGTAGGCTCCGAGCCCCTTAGTGGGGACGTATAGTGAGCTGATGATACGAAATTTAGCTTTTTTTAAACTTTAAGTGACTGTAGGTATGACAAATAGTTGTCAATGGATCCATTCTAGGTGGTAGTTATGGAAGTAAAGGGTCTGAAGTCTCTGGCGCCGAACAGGATCGTCTACTGCACCATGGAAGTGGAGGGAGGTGACAAGCTACAGACAGATCAAGCTGAAGCCTCAAAACCTATGTAAGAATATCTTTTCATAATGCGATACCAAAGAATAAGATAATATGACTTACTAACCGTGAGTTTCTGAGACAAAAATCGCTGTATAAAATATACCACCTGTCGCCTGCGACAACGTCCGCGCGCAATTTAAAAAAAAATATAATTTGTAGCCTATGTGTTCTTCCAGGCTATGTTCTATATGTATGACTAATTTCAGCAAAATCCATTCAGCAGTTCCGGAGATACCTTCAAACGAACATCCATCCATCCATCTAAACATTTATAATATTAGTAAGATTGTATCCCTATCATTATCTTTGACAAAACAGAGATAAGAATATGTTTTAAACGGAGATTTCAGTCTCAGAAACTCACGATAAGTTTTACATTGTAGGCAATATGCAAACAGTACTTGACTTTAAGGTCCGTATAGACACGTAACTTAAGATACTTTAATCTATAGGTGGGATACTCAAGGCGACTTCAGCACTACACAACCTCTGCCAGCTGTAAAGGTTAAGCTGTACACAGAAAACCCAGGAGTGCTAGCGTTAGAGGATAAGGAATTAGGCAAAGTTGTTTTAAGACCAACACCACTTTCCAGTAAGGTAATTAAAAATGTCTCAGCTCTGTCTACCCCATTAGTACAAACCTAATTTCTCTAACATATACAATAACTATTTAAACTTTAACTAAATAATTTTACACGCTTATTTAGGCTCCTGAATGGCATCGTATGACAGTACCAAAGAATTTACCTGATCAAGACTTGAGGATCAAGATTGCGTGTAGAATGGACAAGCCTTTAAATATGAAGCATTGTGGGTACGTACCTCTTTTAAGAGGAGTCAAGAGACCAAAGAAAGGGACACTCGTTGTCTGAATCATATGCTGCAGTGTGACTGAGACAAAAAGTGTTTCTCTCCCTCTCTCTTGTATGGCCGTTTACTCCAAGTACTTGCTTACTTCCTTCTTGTCATAAGTACTTGTGGTCAATTTTCCTTCTAGATACCTCCATGTGATTGGTAAAAATGTATGGCGCAAATGGAAGCGTCGATACATGGTGTTGGTGCAAGTCAGCCAGTACACCTTTGCGCTCTGCTCGTACAAAGATAAGAAGTCTGAGCCAGCTGAAATGATGCAACTTGATGGGTTCACTGTAGATTATATTGAGTTGGCCAGTGGTAAGATATTGTTTGATTTGAATTTCAGACTACGATACTTAATACTTTTACTTTTTATAAAATAATTTACTAATAACTTAATTATTTTCGACTATTATTTTAGCTCAGCTGATGGTTGGTCAAGGTAAGACTTATTTTTATATTGTCTCCATCCTTATATATATGTTACAAAATTTGATATTCCTATCCATACCAATGCACCAAGCACTGCTAAACGGTATACGGTACATAAATCTACCATTTCTTTTTATTTTAATCATTTAGAATTGGAAGGAGCGAAATACTTCATGAACGCTGTACGTGACGGAGAGTCAGTCCTGATGGGTGTAGGTGATGAGAACGAATGTCACTTGTGGGTGATGGCATTGTATCGTGCGACTGGACAGAGCCACAAGCCAACGCCGCCAACCACATCTGATACCCATATTAAGATCATGGGAGGTGTGTATACTAAGACAAGCAGACCAAGCATAAGTAAAATAATCCTGGCAATTGTAATTGAAACTGAAAGATAAAATATTCCGAAAATATTGCTATTTTTGACTATTTGGATATTAAAATATTCATAGATTAGAAAAATTAGAACTTTTCTTAATCTATAATATACAATAAATCGGTTAGAAGGTCCTTAAATTTAATTCTATCCTTTCCAGACGCTGACAAGGCTCGCAAGCATGGTATGGAAGACTACATCCAAGCGGATCCATGTCAATTCGATCATCATCAGCTTTTCTGTGTCCTGCAGTCACTGACACTCAAGTACCGTCTTCAAGATCCTTACTGCTCTTTGGTAGGATTTAATTTTTACCACAGACAAAGAATAACATTCGTAAAAACTAGAAGAATCCATAAAAGGTCATCAAGGCTACAAGTTGAATTTCATCGTTTATCTTACAAGAAAATCTATTCTATACTTCAAAATGAGTTGTAGTACCTTAGTTCACCAATTCAAATCTAGAATCTCTTAAATTTTCTATGGTACCCTTGCATTATTTTAACAAAAATCCTCTTCATAACCCTTTGTATTCCAGGGTTGGTTTTCACCGGGTCAAGTCTTCGTGCTGGATGAATACTGCGCAAGATACGGTGTCCGTGGTTGCTACCGTCACCTCTGTTATCTATCTGATCTCCTGGATGTGGCTGAGAGTGGACAACAGACTGTTGATCCAACTCTCATGCATTACTCATTCGCGTTCTGCGCAAGCCATGTCCATGGGAACAGGTGAGTGTTTTTCTTTCATTGTTTCTATTATACTTGACTCCTTTGATTATAAAGTCAGCTTTTGATATTCTGGCAAATAATTTAGAAGTGATTAATGTTAAATTAACTATAATTTAATTATTGAAAAAATTAAGTTGAATGTAGTATAAGAAATGTATTTTATTGTTAGGTTATGTTAGGTTAGGTTAGTACTTTTACATAACACTTGTTTGTGGGTTTTTGTATTGATTATCTCATTCTATTTTGGACCTACCTACATATCTATTTATGTCTTATTACTTTACGTGCCTATATTTAACGATAATCCTATTTCTTTTATATGAAAAATTAGTAAATGTGATTGATTGTTTAACTGTTATTTAATTTTTTTATATTTGAAGCTGTGTTAAAAAAAAATAATTTTTATTAAAAAAATAATTGTTACTTCCATCTGAAGATTTTTAGACTATAATTAACTTTAAACTCAAAAATTATGAGTACATGTGATTTTTAAGTATGCCATTTGGTCTACTAAATGCACCGTCTACAAACACAACCTAACTATGAAATAAAGATAGCAATACTGACTTTTCATTTATTTTGACTTTGATTACGATTATTATAAAACTGATGATAAAACACAGCATCAAATAAAATAACCACGTCCCTTGAATGCCGCACAAATTGTGTAACCTGAAACTATTAGTAAATTACGATCTTTATTTCCACTTTCTAATGCAAGAAACCATTAATGTGACTAACTCCTTATGTGTATACGTGTGCTTAGCAAACTTACTTGTGACCTGTTCTTCATACTAACTTTTTCTGTTTACGGATCATAGGGATTGGCTGTGCAAATACAATTAACTTACATTAATGACACAATTTATTTCCTACTCAAAGGACCAAATTTTTGAACACATTATTGGTCTATTTCATTTTAAACAACAAAAAATCTAAATTAATGATTTTGTTAGTATTCATAAAGGAGGAGGAGTGATAATACTTTTGTACCGCCAACACCATATCCGACCCTATCCCGCTTGTGCCCTACTAGAGTAAGCCCCACATAACAAGTGGTTCACAGTACGGCCACGTTGCCTGGCAGGCCCGATGGTGTGGGCAGCATCACCGTGCAAGAGAAAGAGAAGTTTGCAGAGATCAAGGACAGGTTGAAAACACTCCTCCAGCATCAGATCACCAACTTTAGATACGCGTTCCCATTCGGAAGACCGGAAGGTGCGCTCAAGGTTCGTATTTTAGTTTGAATATAACTACTTTTCCAAATTGTAGGAAGTGCGTAATTACAAGGTATTTAAATAAATAATTCCAGGCGACTCTATCATTACTGGAGCGTGTTCTGATGAAGGATGTGGTGACTCCTGTCGCACCAGAGGAAGTCAGGACAATGATTCAGACAAGTCTAGAGAATGCCGCTCTACTTAACTACACGCAACTTAGCCAGAAAGCTAATATTGAAGGTAAGTTAAATTAAAAAATGACTAGTTAATGTACAGGCTGTTGTTTTTTAGCTATGGTATAGAAAAAATCATAATTAAAATGACGTATAGACAATGATAAGGACAAAGATATGTTGAAGGTTGTTCATAAAAAAATTTGAAATAAAAATAGTTTAAAAATAAATGCAACTAAAAAAGTTTAAACATTATTCTTTTTGTTCTATTCATAGAGGATCTAAGAGGAGAAACAATGGTGACACCAGCAAAGAAGTTAGAAGATTTGATCCATCTAGCGGAATTATGTGTTGACCTGCTGCAGCAAAACGAAGAACATTACGCCGAGGTATTGTAACACGAACCATAGATAATAACAGATTTTCGAGATGTAAGTCATAGACAATTTAACATTTAAAATGAATAGGAAAATTTATTACTTACAATTCGAAATATCAAAATAATATATGTGTAAATGTATGTCGTGGTATTTATAAAAGCAAAACTTTTTATAATAAATTAACTTAATTAAAAAAAAGACACAATTTTGTGGCCAAGGCTATATAGTTGAAGTTTATAGTTTTTAAAGACTGTATTGTAAAAAGTTTTGCTGCGCAATTTGTCTGTGTTCACTGGAATAGCACCCTACTCTCCTGTCTCGCTATTAGTGTGGAGAATGATCGGGCAGTTTTATTTTTTTGTTAAAAAGTGAGCTGTTAACATTTTTTTCTAATAAAACTAAAGATGTTATATGCCAGTTTGTACTGATTTACAAATTTATTCCGAAAAAAAATGGCTTTTTACAAAAAATATGAGATTTCAATTACAATAGTTTTTTTTAAGATTTTTTTATTCATCGACATTATTTTTTAAAAAACATTCACGTTATAATCTTCATTAGAGACTGTTTTCTCTATGTCTTATAAAAAAAATTAAAGAAATAATATTATCAGCTCATTTATTTGTTAAAAAAATTGGCTATTTTTGGTTATAAAATGCAAAAAATCTAATTTTCTACTTGTCTATCAAAATCATTGAATAGAGCCCAAATATATTTATTAAAAAAATTATCACAATCAGTCCAAAACATAAGGCTCTTAATCAATAGATTTTTTAGAAAGTGAGTTTTTTTTAATTAAAATTTTAGTTAAAACTTTGTGTCCGCTTAATCGTCAAGTGAATCTATTTATAACAAATATTTTGATAAAGCAACTAAAGATGTTTTAGAGCTTTTACTTTATTTTTCTCTACTTGTTAATTTTCGATATAAAGTCAAAGAAAGCGAGAACTGAATAAGAGAAACGCCTCCATAAGCGAGAAACTTAAAACTTAAAAACTTAATTTAAAGCGTCAATAGCCTAATGGTTAAGCCTAGAGCTTAGTTGGAATGGTTAAAGAAATATTAGTAAATTTAAAAAAAAATCTGCTAATATTTTATAAAAAAAAATATAAAAAAAAACTTGCATCAGAGTAACCTCTAAGCGAGAAGAAATATCGCAGACCCTTGGACTCTCGCTTAAAAAGGTTCGACTGTATTTAACTTGTATTTTACAAGGTTCATTTTCCTAGAAGATAATTTGAAGCATATTCACTTGTCGATTTCGAAACTACGCTAAGTAAATTATGATTTTTTTACGTCCTATTATCTTATATTTTATTTCTCCACAGGTTTATAACACAAAACCGGACTCTAGCGGTCAACAAAATGTAACTACTACAAAATTTTCGTTCATTGCTCGGCTGAATACGAATCACTTGTCAAAGTTTTTATTCACTCGGTATCCATTATCACTCAGTTTTTTGGATCACCCTTTGTTTGTTGGGGCGTAGCCTGTACGACACTCGCTTGGAAAGCTTGAATATACTGCAGTGATAATTGTCTTAAAACATATATTTTATATTTAAGCTGGCTAAAGAGCTAGAGAATTTGTCAAAAGTAGCGAAGTAGATACGGTGGCAGTCTTTAAACGAGGTTTAGGCTAAGTGCCATCTGCGCTCGGTCACCTCAAGCCCGGTGAAGCTGTAAATGCCTCCTCAAGGCAAACAGTGGCAATCAGTCACAAAAAAAAAACGGCGGCAGTCACATTTAAAGATGCGTTGGCCTACCTTTAATCGAAGGGACGTACATAAGAGGACGTTTCCCTATAAATGGGTTCTCTTTTTCTTGTAAGATAAGGATAGGAATAAAACGAGGACTAAATTAGGTCTCCGGGACGCACACTCATCAGACGTAACGCGGAATTGCTTCCACTTAACTTGTCTTCTGTGTGTTAAAAGTTATGTTGTCTCTGTTTTATCAGTGAGAATGAACGCGATGGCAATATATACAATTGTCACTGCAGTGGTGTTCTAGGGTTAGAATTCAAAATTGAAAGCTATGCATGACCAGATATCATTTAGATGTTAGATAGATCACGATATCGATTTATATTATTCAACATTCACACTCTCTTTACACTTACTCGACACTCGGTTATACAGGGTGTACGGAAAGAGCGTGTCTAACAAACTAGCGAAATACAATGTGTATTTTCTAGATGCCTATAAAATAATTTTTAAAGCCCGTGGTCAATAAAAAATTCGATTTTATGCATGCTTTTTCGAACCTCCTGTATATAAATAACGAGATTTTTCATAACTAGAACAAAAAATATTTTTGAAAAACTCTTTTTGATCCTATTAGTTCTCTAATTAAGACTATAGGACTTTGTCTTAATTAAAATGTATCTTAAATCATTTTAAATAGTTTTGGAATTAAAAATTAAATTAATTTCGAGTATTAATTTTTCATGTTTTGTACTTAATAAGATAGTCAACAATTAAATTACAAATAGTGCAGAATTTGACTAAAATTGGCGTAAGCGAGTGTGACTGTTTTGCGATGTATTAAAATAATTTAAATTATTAAAAAATGACTGGTCGGGGTTAATATTTTTGGGTGAAATCTTTAAATGCATAGTTAAAATTTTGATCGTAATTATTTATGGCGAGTGTCGGGTAAATAAACGTATACTTTTCATTCAGGGCTCAAAATTTCTTAATCGATGGTTTTTAATAACTTGGCAGAATTGGCAGGGAACTTTTGTCTTTCGTCTGCAATGAAAAGTGTTGCTATAACAATTTCCAAATCCCCCACAACATATAGTACCAACACAAACATATTTCATTAAAACTAAACTGTACATTTTACGACACACAACGATTTAATCGCTTACTTAGGCTGCTATTAAAAATATACAATTAATATGCTTTCAATCCGTACACTAGATTATATCACTAAGTAACTGTCATTTTGACAGCTGTCAAATCGATATAAAAGTTAGTATTAATGATAGTATATCGATTTTTTAATCGATTATAATATTTTTTTTAGCGTTGTGATTTTTGTTAGCCGCCAAAATTACTTAATTTTACTCTATATAACAGTATATTTATATTTGTTTTTTCTTTTTTTTACATCATTTAGCGCATTTCTTATTATTAGTTTTCCTTCCACCCCATTTCCGATAATTTCCATTTCATACCATGAGTAGTATTTAGTATGCATCTTTAATTCTTTTATTAAAAAATAAAAAGCTATTTAGATAAAATAATATATCTTATCTATGATTTTGATGTATTACATGGAAAGCATGCTCTTATACGTTACATGGAAATGTTTATGAGAAAAATTTGCTAAAAGACTGCAAAAAAAAATATGCCAACTATCTAATTTTTAGCCAAACTCACAAACATTTTGCGCTACAAAACAGGTAATGTAAGAAAATGTTTTAAATACAATTTGACGACCAATAAACATTGTCAGCGCCATCTAGCAAGTCCAATAGTCATTTAAATCAGTAATTCCCAAAGTGGTCCTGGTAGAAAGTTTTGGGTCTACACCGAAACCAGAAAATAATTCAAGGTGATTTTGCAAGAAAAATGTTTTAGAATCTCCCATAACGTTATTAAAAATAACCAAAACTAATTTGAATAATTCTTGGTGACCAGATCAATGTTATTCACAAAGTAATTCTTCTTATTGCTGTCTTCTACCAGGCATTCGCGTGGTTCTCTGAGCTGCTGGTGGAACACGCGGAGATCTTCTGGGCGCTGTTCGGAGTCGATATGGACCGCGTGCTGTCAGAACAACCTCCTGATACCTGGGACTCCTTCCCTCTGTTCCAAATATTGAATGATTATTTGAGAAATGATGGTGAGTATGAAAGAAAAAAGTGTGATAATTTGTAGCCAAATATTTATGTAGTCTGTTCCTACCTTACAAACATTTACAAAGTAGAAGAAAAGAACATAGGGAAGGAAAATAGAAAATAAGGGCGTTGAAAAGTGAATTGGATAAGCCGTTTTAGGTTATTTTACAATAAAATCAGCTGCTAAATTTTTTGTATAATATATTCTTACAGATAATCTCAAAGGAGGTAGATTCCACGAGCACCTACGTGACACCTTTGCCCCCTTGGTCGTGCGCTACGTAGACCTGATGGAATCTTCCATTGCACAATCCCTGCACAAGGGATTCGAGAAGGAGCGATGGGAAATTAAAGGGTAAGAGGAAAAAGCAGTTGAAAAATCTTTTTAATAGTAGATTAGAGATTGTAGTCCGTTTTTTCATATTTCAAATGCGGTTGGTTTGATAGGAAATGAATGGAATTTTTATTTCTACCTTGCTTCAGTCCATGTATAATATAATTTTATGACACTCTTGAAGGTCACATACTAAACTATCTACTTATGGATTTTCTCTGTGGTTTCAGTAACGGTTGTTCAACAAGCGAGGAATTGTTCTGGAAGCTGGACGCGCTGCAGTGCTTCATCCGTGACCTGCATTGGCCGGAGCCCGACTTCCGCTCGCACCTGGAGCAGCGGCTCAAGCTGATGGCATCAGATATGATGGAGACTTGTATACAGAAGACCGAAGCATCCTTCCAAGTATGTTAACATCTCTGATTATTTCTGAATGACTGGAAATAATAGTTATTAGGTCACAGGTCTGCGAACTACAGTTTATATAATCCCCCCCTCCCAAAGTCATAGTAAAAAAGATGGTACTGAAGAAATGTCGCTCAGGTCGCTAGAAGAGCTAAAACCATTACTGTTTCCAGTCCTGGCTGAAGAAGAGCGTGACGTTCATGTCGACTGACTACATCCTGCCGGCGGAGACGTGTGCGATGGTGAACGTGGCGCTGGATGCCAAGAACCAAGCGCTCAAACTGTGCGCCGTTGAGGGGGTTGATATTGTGAGTAATCAGATATGATGAATTTAAACTACTATAAATTATAAGGACAGAATTTTTTATATCGATTTTAACATATTTCAAAATATCACACTATGGATTTGGGACTACAACTAAAACATTAAACCTTTTTAGAACAACAACTTTTATAAAACGGCTAAGCCATGTATGTTCGTCCGGTCGTGGTTCTGATTAGTTTCGTGCTCTTCGGGAAGTTTTTAGGACAGCTTGTAATATAACAAATATGTAATTAATAACTTTACTAATCCAGTGTTTTACTAATCCGAGTTTTAGTAGATTTTTTACTTTTATTGTTTTGTAATCTAGTAATTAGATTGCATTTTTATTTTTGTTTTTATTTCTTTCCGTTGTTTTGTTAATTTTATGTTTATTTTAATTTTCTGCATGTCTTTCGTTCTTTTATATTTATTTTACAAGGCCATGGATCCATCACTCGCTGTAAGTATTAGGGTAATAATTCTTCACCATCCATTTCTATTGAAATCAAAGATTGAACCAACGAACATTTGATTAAGTATTATTTATAAAAAAGGATCTTGACAGACAGACGGACAACAAAGTGATCCTATAAGGATACCGTTTTTTTCCTATGAGGTACGGAACCTTAAAAAACACAAAAAATTTAGAACTACTTAAGTATCAACATCTGTTTTAAATATCGAAGCCCCTTTTAATTTCCTCAACTTCAAAAGGTAAAATATAATTAAATCTACCATAATATTTAATTAAATATTTAATTGTCATAAATTAGCCACTTATGGAGGACTACCTTCATATGTTTTAAATAGTATAAAATTTGAATTTTTTTAAACCTCTCAAATGGGGTTTAGAACCCCCTGAGGGGTGATTAATGAATCCCCACTTACCAACTTATCGTTCATGTTTAGTACATAATAACGATTCCTTCTAGTACCAGTATCACGCAAAAATGGATGCCCAGATTGAAGCATGTTTATTGGCAATGTCGACGGGGATGACAACACGACTGTCAGCAGTACTCGAGGCCACACTGGCTAAGATCGCCAGGTTCGATGAAGGAAGGTAAGTACATCCTTAGCTTGCTATATTTGGGGAATGCACTATAGCATGGCAATCTTTAGCGCTAGTGTGCTAATGTTGGCCACACTGTCTCGTATCGAAAACGCTCTGAGTTAGTCAGTACTAACCGAGCACTCGTCAAGGATGCGTCTTATTGTAAATTCAACAATCAGTGATTTCCTTATTCGATTTACTAACTTCAACAATGTTCACGTTTTATTACTTTTATCAACATTTATTAAGATTTTAACGAATTTATATTATTTTCAGTTTAATTGGATCTATCCTGACGATAGCCAATGTTTCTGGTTCCGGCAAAGACATCGGCCAGGGTTACGTTAACTTCATGAGGAATTCGATGGACCAAATCAGGTCGAAGGTAAACTGCGATTTTAAAGAGTCACTCAGTTGAAATTATGACTATGGTTTACAACAGTAGTCAAAATAATTATTTCTATGGACTATAAAATTCATAGACTAATAATTAGGGTACAGAGAGGATAACTACGAATCAAAAGAAACTTAATTCTGTTAAATTAAACACCGTAAATGTCATTAGTCAGACCAGATCCAACAATCACTATCCAACAACTCAGTCTTTTCTTTTGAAGCTTCTAGAATGTGTCTTGTATACTAGGTGACAGATGAGCTATGGATCCTGCAGCTATTCGAGCACTGGTACGGCATCCAGGTGAACATGGTGAGCACGTGGCTGGGTGAGCGGCCCGCTCTCCATCCGCAGCAGGTCGCCTGCCTCTCCATCATACTCAAGGTAAGGGGAATCCAAAGATCTAAGATATGGAGATTTTAGTTTTTAGATTAGTCCATTTAAAAGAAGCATGATGTATTATTTGATAGAAAAGAAAGTATTTGCGATATAATGTGCCGGAATACTAAGAAATACTTCGAAATCATTTTAATGGTTTCTCAAGCTGTGGTCTTCAACATTAAAGTAAATTAAAATGTAACAAGTATTGTACTATTCGAAGTTTTCTTGCAGAAAATGTACAGCGACTTCGAGCTGCAAGGCGTGATTGATGACAAGCTGAACTCCAAGGTGTACCAGAGCGTGGCCGCGCGCATGCACGCTGAGGAGACCACCTGCAGCCTGCTACTGGCGCAGCAGGACGCAGGGTCTGTTGCCACCTTCCCTCAAATTCAGCTGTACATAGGACAGTAGCGTCCGAATACAGCGCTGGCCTCCAACTGGCATAATGTAAACATTATCTGGTGCCAGTAAACCAATACAGTCCATTGCAGACATTCGCTCCTATCCAACTGTGCTGGAATAGTGTAAACCGGTTACTTTGTTTATATTCCTAAACTCATTAGTTCATTACAGAAATATTAATTTTTACCAGGATATTTAACAGACAAATAAGAGAACGTAAGAGAGAGAGATACAGACATCGTCCATCTAACTCCACTATGTTGTAATATTAAAGTGATTATGTGTTTTAACAGTGGAGAGGACGGTGGGTCGGAAGAGGGTTCTAGAAGCGGAAAGTCTAAACTGGAATCTCTTACAGAAGACGCCAAGTTGGGTAACGTCGGCGCAGTCGTTGGAAAGGTACGAGAAATCTACTATAACGGTTTCCCTTAGTGACCACTTTTTAACTAAGTACGAAATACATAAAACATCCAACGCCCGCTACTCCATCCGCGCGGAACAAAAAAAATCAAAATTAATAGTCTATTTGTTCTCCCAGACTATGTTCTACATCTATGACAAACTTCATAAAAATCCGTTCATCCATTCTGGAGATACTTCCAAACAAACTTCCATCCATCCATCTAAACATTTGCATTTTTTATATTAGTAAGATAATAATACAATTTTGCCAAATTCTTTGTTTATATTTTTAGGTTGGCAACATGTTCGGTCGCGGCATCGGGGAACTTTCTACCAAACTCGGCGGAGCTTCGTCTTGGTTTTAGCGCTTGAACGATTGTATCTCATTCAACATCATCTCATAATTTATCCGATTTCAATGAGATAAGATCTCATTATTTAGTTGACGTGATCATTTTAATTTTATCAACATCATGTAACATTTATAAGCTTAAATCAATATTGATAACCAAACTACTTAAAATGTGCCTCTTACCATTATTCTAAATTATCAAAAAAAAATCATCATTAAAACTCCCAGACAATACGAATCATATAAAAACTAATCGCTTTGGTAATAAGAGCGAAGCGAATAACAAAAAATAATTTTAACAATACAGTCGCCATTTTGTTTACGCACGACAAGATGGCGTTCGATTTAATTCGATTTAATGTAAGTGGCAATGCATAGCTTAGTTAAAATTAGTGTTAAAAGTCTAGATTTTATTTTATAATAAAGCTTTATGTACAGTTAGGATCACTATTGGTTTATCGGAGCAAATAATGATTGTTAGGTGTGAATATTATGTAATATTTGATAACACGAACGGTTATATTAAAGGAAACATATATACAAACAAATTGCATACATTATGCTACAATAAGAAAACATATCGCTTTGGCAAAATAAAACGTTATATTTTAGTCAGTCGTGTGTAAAATGTTATATTTAAAAATATATCGAACTAGTAATTGAAAATTGGAATGTAAGGAATGCATATGAAGGTAGACATCTTAACTGAAATTGTTCTGTCACTATTATTAATATTAACCTATCCTCGAAGCTCACGTTTTTCTCGGCTTGAAATAAATAATTTTTTGAAATATTTTTCTAATTGTTAATAGTATTTTATCATAAAACTCATGCTGGATTTGGTTAGTTTAATTAGCGTCTTGCCCCGCCTATAAAATAAAAATAGCACATAGTTTTGACAGAGTAATAAATATGCAAAATTTCTCTATTTTAAATAGCAATATTTTTCTAATCTCGTGTCAACTTTTCATATCAATACAACTAGCTATTTAACTTTCCAATAACATTTTTAAAAGCATGTTTATAAGATACCAAATGTAATTTGGCGCCACGCCAACGTCATCTATGGCACGGCAGTGTTACCATACACAAAGACAAAAATTAAACCGTTATTAAAAGATTTTATAAACATGCGTAGTAAATTTAAAATTAGACACTGTTTTGCCGTAGTAATACTATCTATACTTTTAAACTCTTTAGATCGACACCTTAACTTGAATTAGTCAAAATAATACAAATATAATATTATAAAGTACTTACTCTTATACTTATATTTATAAAAAAATATTCTTCTACGCTAATTACCTAAGAAATTTTTGAACAACTAGAAGAAATTTAAAGTTCTTAGATAAAAGTTTAAATTAGTGGTAACTTCTAAGCGCTAATACGCCTTATTATGGTCTTGTTAAAAATT